GCTGTTTGCTCTCATTGCTTAGTCTGTTCAGCGATGACAGCAGTTGAGAAGTAGGACATGGTTTGAGCACGCGGGCAGGCACGGAGGGCCTCTACAAGCTCGGCCACGGCCCTGGACGCCCGCGCTACAGTGCTGTCCATTGATGCTGTCGGGGCCTTCGACCATGTGTCGCGCCAAGCCATGCTAGAAGGGCTCCGGTCCCGCCCGGCCCTCGCCCCGCTGCTGCCTTTTGCACGCCAGTTTTATGGCAGTGCCAGCGTCTACACCTGGCTCGACGAGACCGGCGCCGAGCACGACGTGACGCAAGGCGACGGAGGCGAGCAAGGGGACCCGCTAATGCCGGCGCTCTTCTCCCTGGCGCAGCACCCCGCTTTGAGCGAGGCAGCGGCAGGGCTGCAAGAGGGTGAGGCCATCTTCGCGTTCTTGGACGACAACTATGTCGTGTCAGCACCGGAGCGCACCGATGCGCTGCACAGCGCCCTGGAGGACGCGCTCTGGCGCCATGCGCGCATACGCTTGAATCGAGGCAAGACCCGCGTATGGAATGCTGGCGGTGAGGAGCCTGCCGGCCTGGCCCGTCTCCAGCCGGTGGGTGCCGAGCCAGTCTGGACGGGTGCCTGGTCCTTGCCGGCAGACCAGCAGGGGTTACTGGTGCTGGGAGCGCCGCTCGGCAGCGAAGCTTTTGTGCGACGGGAACTGCGCCGCAAACGGGAGACCCAGGACCAACTGCTTGCCCGCCTGCCTGCCGTTGGGGACCTGCAGTGCGCGTGGCTCCTCCTGCTCTTCTGCGCCTCCCCGCGTGCAAACTACTTGCTTCGGTGCGACTGAGGCCTTTGCGCGCGAACACGACGCTGCGGTGTGCGCATGCCTAGCGGCCCTGCTGTCGCAGGACTCCCTGCCCACGCAGGCACTGCCTCAGCCCACGCAGCGCCTCGTGCACCTCCCTTTGCGGTTTGGGGGCCTGGGGGTGCGCTCGGCCGTCGACTCCTGGGCGGACTGCTTGCCGACCATTCGAGCCCGGGCGCCGCTGGCAGCCGATCGTGCGCGCACTGCAGTCCTCCACCGAGACCGTGCCGCCGCTCACAGCAGCGCGTCACGCAGCCGCCTGCCTCCGCGAGCAGGGCTACGACGCTCCCGCGTGGGAGGTGCTGCTGCAGGCACGGCCAGGGCAGGAAGAACGCGAGTTTGGGGAATTTTTGCGAGGCTGGCAGCATCGTGCTGCCCTCGCCAGTGACGAGCGCGCGCGCTTGATTTGCATCTTTCTCACACTGATGCCGCATCTCGAGCGCTGCTGCTGTCACAGGCCGGGCCACACGCTGCGCGTGCCTTCACAGTCTTCCCTACCTCAGCAGAGTTGACGGTGCCATCACCGCTCTTTCGCGTCTTGCACTGCTGCGACGGCTTCGCCTGCCGCTGCCAGTCGCACCGCGCGCGTGCGCCTGCCGAGGTCGCCTGGACCCCCTCGGCGACCACAGGGCTGCGTGTGCGACTTCCGGTGTGCTCGCATCTCGAGCCCTCCCTCTCGAGCGGGCAGTGGCGAGGGTGTGCCATGAAGCCGGGGCGAGGGTCGCCCGCAACGTTCGCCTGGCTGACATGAACATCGATGTCCCGGTCTCGGATGACCGCCGCATCGAAGTCGTCGCGAACGGGTTGTCCTTGTGGCATGGTGCGCAGCAAGCTGTTGATGCCACCATCGTCAGCCCCGTGACGCGGGCGGGCGACGCCCAGCCCGGAGCTGATGTGCATCCCGGTCGGGCTGTGGATTGCGCCGCCCGACGCAAACGCCGCCAAGCCTACCCCGAGCTCGTGCGCGCTCGCCGCTGCCGTTTGGTTGTCGTCGGAGTGGAGGTTGGGGGCCGGTTCGGCGCAGAGGCGGCCACTTGGCTCCGGCTGCTCGCCGGGCAACGTGCGTCGGACGTTCTGGCGGCCACGCGAGCGGCAGCGCGTGCGGCGTGGGTCGCCCGTTGGTCGGGGCTGCTCGCCGTCGCCGCCCAGCGCGCCATCGCCGCGTCCTTGTTGGAACTCCCGCTCGCGGGAGAGTGCAACGTCGCCGGAGAGGCGCCAGAGCTGCACGAAGTGCTTGCAGACGTGCGCTGGCAGCTCCCGGTCATGGGCAGCCGCCAGGCCTCACTAGTGTCCCCGGCAGGAGCGCCTCCGTACTCCGTAGGACCAGGTAGGCACTGACGGCCGGGACTCTGGATTGCCGGTAAAAAGGTCCGCGAAAAAAAAAAGACCACTAGTCCTGACGTGCACCCTCAAAGCATGATGGGTCATGGGCCAGGTCACATCTCACACGCTGATGCATTCCGGCAGGTATTGGCCACAAACACAATGTTGCGCAAAATGTCACGCATCGAGTTCACAGTGGGGTCTGTGCTGAAAAATGTTTCCGAACTCTGGCACGTTGGAGCTGCGAGTTTGCAGTCGCCAGCGCTGGCGCGATTGAGAATAAACAACACATTTTTTTTTTACACATTCGCGCGGAAGCGGCGGGTGACATACCCCGAGCTCGCGAACGCGCGGCGATGTAAACTGGTCGTCGTCGGGCTGGAGGTGGGCGGCAGGTTCGGCGCTGAGGCAATCGGATTCCTCCGTGGACTGGCGAAGGCCAAAGCCCGCGAGGCGCCGGCGCAGCTACGCGCCGCGGCGCAGCGCGCCCACTTCCACCGCTGGACCGGCCTGATCGCCGTCGCAGCACAGCGAGCCTTGGCCTGCTCCCTGCTCGAGCTCCCGATTGCTGGAGCTGACGAGTGTGACGGAGATGAGCCGCCGTTGGGCGACCTCCTGGCGGACGCGAGGGGCACAGAGAGCGTGCTGCCAAGCCGCCTGCCAGCGCCATGAGCTCGCGTGGCTGCCGCCTAAGCCGAGGGTAGATAACCGACTTCGGACGAACTAGCATGCAGGCGCAAAAGTCCGGAGAGAAAAAAAAACACAACACATTCCAGAAGTGCCTGTAGGGGCATCAGCAGAAAGACTAGAGCGATGCTGGGCGACCACATTGCGGCGTGCCCCCGCTCTGGCGTCCTCCGGGCCCGCGCGGGCCCACTCGAGCGTTGTCGCGAAGCTGGGGCCACCGTCGCAACCAATGTCTTGTCATTGAGCGCCAAGATAAGTGTCGCATCGAGGTCATCGCCAACGGACTCCCGCTCTGGGGGGGTGTTCCTTTGGCTGTTGACGCCACCCTTGTCTCCCAACGCCCCCTGTCGCGCGCGCGGTTGCACCGTTGCGCTTGGCTCGCCAGGCCAAGGAGCGGACGTACCCGGAGCTCTGCCGTTCAGCCCGCTCCCGCTTGACCGTGCTCGCTCTCGGCAGGGTTCGTCCGCCAGCTCGCCTGCTGCAGGACGCGGGCAGCGCCTGCGTATGCACGTGTATGGTTGCATACTCACTTGTATATTGGACAAGTGCAGTCCGAAGGGGCCGTCGCGAGGGTGTGCCGTGAGGCCCGTGTCGCCCGCAATGTCCGGGTCGCTGACATGAACGTCCAGGTCCCGGTCACGGACGGGCGGCGCATTGAAGTCGTCGCCAACGGCCTCTCACGGTGGCATGGGGCCCAACTCGCCCTCGACGCCACCATTGTCACCCGGTCCGGCGACCCACACCCGCGTGCCAAGTTGTCCTTGCTTCTTGGGTTGGCCTTAAGTCTTGCGCCGCCCTCAGACGTAGTGGCTGGTGTGTCCTTTCCGTTTTCCTTCACCCTCGTCGTTCCACAAGCGACGCGCGGGATGTTGGGTCTGGCTTCTACTAGTAGAATCTTAGGCTCTCGGCAGCGCCAAGCGAAGCTGGACAAACACCCGCGTGCTGACACGCAGCCCGGATGGGCCGTTGTTGACAGTGCCGCTTGGTGCAAACGGCGCGACACCTACCCTGAGCTCACGCGGGCGCGCCGCTGCCGCCTCGTCGTCGTCGGCGTTGCCGTCGGCGGCCGCTTTGGGCCACCGTGCCGGCGCACCTCCGACCGGCTGCGCAGGCCGTGGGTTGCACGGTGGGCCGCACTGCTCGCTGTCGCGTCCCAACGCGCCTAGGCGAGCTCGCTGCACTCCCACCCGCTGCTGAGTTGCGCGGGGAGCAGGCTGCGCCGCAGTTGCATGAGGTCTTGGCCGACGGCCGCTGGGACCTTCCCACCCAGGCCAGCCGCCTGCCCGCCCGCCCTCAGTAGGCCACCTTGGCCAGCCCCCGACCGTGACTTGCCCCGGCAGGCGCAAAAAGGTGTGCGGAAAAAATAGTGCAGTATGCACTTCAACTGCATGGCATTCAAGTGTCTTGACTTGAATGCCGGCATTCATGCACTTGTGGTCAACTCTATACACTTTGCACACTTCCTTGGAATTCAATACATCTGAAGTTAATGGACTTGAACTCGACATATTTCAACTTAATGCACTTGAGCAACTGTATGAACTTCACTTGCATGCGCCCGGCTCGGCTGTGCACGTCCAATCCACACAAAACCATGAAAAAAAAGAGACGAAACCCGCAGAGGGACGAGGGTTTTGGCACCGCGACCACGCCGAAACCCCAGAGGGCTGCAATCCCGATCGATGACGACAACCCTACCCGCCGCTTCAAAAACAATATTTTTTTAATGCAGAAGCGTATGACTGGGTACGAAAGTCGACCGAATTCAATGAAAATTCCATTGAAGTCTCGTAAATTCGATTAGATTGTACTAAAATCTCGTGTAGCCTCTGTGCACTTCACTCTATTCACTTCACACTCTATGCACTTCACTCTGTACGCACTTCGCTCTATGCATCACGCTATGCACTTCATTCTATGTTGTTGGGTCTGTGCACTTCATTGTTGCACTAGACTCTGTGCACCTCACTCTATGCACTTCACTCTCTATGCACTTCACTCTGTGCACTTCACTCTATGCACTTAAATCTATGCACTTCACTCTATGCACTTCACTCTGTGTTGTTGGGTCAGAGGGCTCCGCACGGAAGAACCCTTCCCAATGCTTTCGGGAGAAAACAAACAGGCAATTCGATCTCACTGAGGGCCAGCGACTTGACGCCTGGTTCTTTGGAGATGGATTCGCTTTGCGATGACGTTGTTCGAGCAGGGTCCTCAGCTTGTTTGTAAGCGCTCCGTGCACCTGGAATCGAGACAAAATTGGGTGCATTCTTGAGGTGTTGGATTTCTTTGACGTGCAAAATGGCATTCTCGTTGGACATGGAGTTGGCGGCACCGTGTTTGCAGTTTTGAGCTGGCGATTCGATCTGCAAAAGAAGTTGAGCAGTCAGGTTTCATTGCCATCCAATACATGCTGAACTACCCGAAGCACGCAAGATGGAGGACCAAGTGCTAAAAAGACAAGCGCCGAAAGACTACAGCTGAATCAATCAAAGCTCAAACTATTTTTGCAGGCTTCCACATGGCTTTGTTTGCATAGCGCCCGGCGCCTGCTTTTGAAAGGGCATTCGTGGTTGTTGGTGCATGTGCTTAGCGGATAGAACCTGCGTGAAGTTTCCGCTTTGGCGTTGAGGTGTTCCGCCGGCAACCTGCAGGAGACAGTTGGGCATGAAACGCTGAGGCTTTGCGGCGTTGAACATGTATCCAATGAGCGTTGAATGGAAATAGTGTCCGTGGTGTCGGCCAGACAATTGTCGAAGCTTTTCAATGTCCGAGGCTCAGATGTACTCATAGTTGTTGTTCTTGTCGATTGGTTCCCACAATGAAAAGTGGCGGGATTGTTGTCCATCACACGTCCACCCAGGCAAGGACAACAAATGAGCAGCAGACAACAAAGGTTTCAGCAAGCAAACTCGGGCGGCCTCAAGAAAACATTTTGTGGGCAGACAACTGTGCTGTGCTGCTTTTGGAGGCCGAGGACGTCGTAGCCTCGCGTTGCCGGCCCACCTCCAGCCTTGCATGGGCTCCTGGCTGCAGCTGGCGGACGACGTCATCATCGTGTGGGCATGGATGCTTTGGCCAATGGCTGCGCTTGCAGCATAGATGTTATCATCGGGTGTGGGTGTTTTGGCCATGGCTTGACCCTTGTGGCTGGAGTGTTGAGATGTACATGGGTTCTTTGGGTGCCAGCAGCGCCCCACAAACGAACCTGCGGGGCACGCATTGGCCGTGATGGATCACGCCAGGCTTGCAATCTAATCGTTGCCTCCGTGCAGAGGGTGACCTTGCACAATTCAGCACGCAGGTGGTCCGCTTGCCAGAAATGGTCGCCTATTTCGATATGTCTGGAGAGGCTCCATCATTGATGCGCACGTGATTTGTTGGGTTCGCCGTGTACCCAAGATTCTTGCAAGGTCTCGATCTCCAAGCGGCTTGGCACCAATGCGTCGTTTGCCGCGGTCCGCGTTGCTTTGGAGGTGTTGCGGGCACACGTTCGGCATGTCACGGTGTTCCGAGAACGGAAGTGCCCTTCTCAAAACCTTGCAGGCAAGCCGCGTCGCAGCGAGCGAGTGGGCAGTGCGTGCGCCATCTACAATAGGAAGTTTCGTTGGCAAACTCACGGAGCTTCAACTGAACGGGCAGCTGCAGGAAATCTCAGCGACATGCAGTGGCACTTTGACTTGCACCCTCAAATACCGGCTCTTGAATTGCCCAGTGCCCGTGTCTCAGCATTCCGGGATGAGGGCGTTTCCTTGTTTGCAAAGAGTTTTTGGTGTATGTGAGGGTCTATCAGGTACTGTATGATGTGGACGATATGGGGCTTAGATCAATGCCTCAAAACGAATATGGGTGGGTAGGAGTGGGTGATGGGTGGCCAGGGGCATGTCTTCCCAACTCCAGCTCAAGTCGAGGACATGTAATGTCATCAAGACCCTTCTTAACTTCTAAGTGGGGGGCGAACCTATAGATCTCACGTCTGCTACGGTTGTCTATGCAAAACAGGGTATTTTCAGGCTTTTCAGGGTATGTTTATTAAAAAAAAAATATATATATATATATTTATTTATACATGTATGTATTTATTCATTCATTAGTGAATCAATTCATGAATTTATTTACTTGTCTGTTTATTTATTTACTTATTTATTTATTTATTTATTTTTTTTGAAAACATTAATATTTAAGGGGCTGCGCCCATGGGCGGGCAGCGCACGCAGAAGCCCGGGGCGAGCAGTTTCTAAGCATGTTGAGGCCCCTAAACTCCCTTAAAATCTCTAAGCGTTAAGTTTCTAAGCATTTTCAGGCCCCTAAACTCCCTTCAAATCTCTAAGCGTTTGAGGCTCCGAGACTCCCTTAACGTTTCTAAGCATTTTATAAGGCCTCTAAACTCCCTTTTTCCGAGCCCCGGGCTTAGACACGTCGCTTATGCCCGCCCTTTGGGGGGCATCATGCTCCTGATGCCCCCCCGCGGTCCCGCCCCGGGAGCCGCTGATGCTCCTGATGCGCGCCTGGGGGTCCCGGGCTGGACCCGCTGATGCTCATGATGCGCGCCCTCTGGGGGCCTCCGTGGCGACGCAAAAAACCACGAAAAAAAAACCGTTCACCGGCGGCACGCGGGGGTCGGCGGCACTGGCGTCCGGCCTAATTCTGCTTCGCAGAAGGCCAGAGGCCAGCAAGGCTATTCCCGGGACGACCCGGGCTAAAAGGTCCGCATTTGCTCGGTCCTTTGGGGACCTCGCGCTGCCCGATTTAATGGCTACCGCCAGTGCCGCCGACCCCAGATCTAAGAGAGTCTTGCTGATGGCACGCTGAAGGCCCTAAACCCAAAACCCTACAACCTCAATGCCGAAACCCGGAACCCCGAAACCTAAACTTACAACCCTTACACCCTGAAACCCTAAACCCTAAACGTCCAAGAAAACCCTAAACCCTAAGCTCATAGGAGCTATCGGTCCATGGGGCCATGGAGGTCGAAGGGATGGGTCCATGGGGGCCATGGGGGTCGAGGGCCATAAAGGGCGGGTGGAGCGGGGGAAGGGGCGGAGCAAGCGGAGCGGGCGGAGCGGGCGGGCATGCACTGGGGCCCTTTAAAGTCATTTGATTGGGTCTAGAGGCATAGGGCCAGGGGACCATGGGGCCATGGGGCCAGGAGCCACAAAGTAGGGGATGGAGACATTGGGGCCAATGGCGCCAGGAGCCATGGGGCCATGGCTGGGGGCCATGGGGGTCGAGGGCCATGGAGGGCGGGTGGAGCGGGGGAGGGCGGAGCGGGCGGGCATGCACTGGGGCCCTTTAAAGTCATTGATTGGGTCTAGAGGCATAGGGCCAGAGAACCATGGGGCCATGGGGCCAGGAGACAAAGTGGGGGGTTGGCCGTCGAAGCATGCAGACATTGGGGGCGATGGCGCCAGGGGCCATGGAGGCATGGGTCCATGGGGGCCATGGCGGTCGAGGGCCGGAGGGCGGGTGGAGCGGGGGAAGGGCGGAGCAAGCGGAGCGGGCGGAGCGGGCGGGGGGGGGTGGGGGGGTGTGTGGGTGGGGGAGGGGAGTGGGGTGGGGGGTGGGGGGGAGTTGGGGGGTGGAAGGCAGAGGGGCGGAGTAGGCGGGAGAGGGGTGGAGTGGAATGGTAGGGGAAGGGTGGTGGGGAGCGGGGGGCAGGGGAAGGGGTTGGTTGTGGGAGTGGGGGGGAGGGGGGTAGGTGGAGGAGATGAGGTAAGTGGCTGGAGAAGGGTGGATTGGGGCTGGGGAAGGGGTAGGGGAGGAGGATGGAGTGGATGGTTGGGAAGGGGAAGGGTCGTGGGCGGGGGGGCAGGAGAAGGGGTTGGTGGTGGGAGGGTGGGTGGATTGGGGGTACAATAAAAAAGGGGGAAGGGGCAGGGGAGGAGGATGGAGTGGAATGGGGGAAGGGGTCGGGGAGGAGGATGGAGTGGAATGGTTGGGAAGGGGAAGGGTAGTGGGAGCGGCAGGGGAAGGGGAGGTTAGGGGCGAGAGGTGGAGTTGGAATGGTTGGGAAGGGGAAGGGGGAAGAGGTTGCGGTGAGGGCAGGGAGGGTCTTCACTGACGCCGCCCCGCTGTTGCTGGGGTCGGCGGACCATGGGGGCCATGGGGGTCGAGGGCCATGGAGGGCGGGTGGAGCGGGGGAAGGGCGGAGCAAGCGGAGCGGGCGGGCATGCACTGGGGCCCTTTAAAGTCATTTGATTGGGTCTAGAGGCATAGGGCCAGGGGACCATGGGGCCATGGGGCCAGGAGCCACAAAGTAGGGGATGGAGACATTGGGGCCAATGGCGCCAGGAGCCTGGATGGGTCCATGGGGGCCATGGGGGTCGAGGGCCATGGAGGGCGGGTGGAGCGGGGGAGGGCGGAGCGGGCGGGCATGCACTGGGGCCCTTTGAAGTCATTGATTGGGTCTAGAGGCATATGCAGACATTGGGGGCGATGGCGGGTCCATGGCGGGCCATGGCGGTCGAGGGCCGGAGGGCGGGTGGAGCGGGGGAAGGGCGGAGCAAGCGGAGCGGGCGGAGCGGGCGGGCATGCACTGGGGCCCTTTAAAGTCATTTGATTGGGTCTAGAGGCATAGGGCCAGGGGACCATGGGGCCATGGGGGAGCCACAAAGTAGGGGGTTGGCCTTGGAGGCCATGGCGCCACGAGTTATGGGGCCATGGAGGCATGGGTCCATGGGGGCCATGGGGGACGGAGAGCAAGCGGAGCGGGCGGAGTGGGGGGGCCAGGAGCCACAAAGCATCGGGCACCATGGCGCCAGGGTCCATGGGGGCCAGTGGGGAAAGGGCTCAGCAAGGAGCGGGCGGCGGGCGGGCATGCACTGGGGCCCTTTAAAGTCATTTGATTGGGTCTGGAGGCATAGGGCCAGGGGGCCATGGGACCATGGGGCCAGGAGCCACAAGTAGGGGCCATCCAAGCATGGAGATTGGGGGCCATGGCGCCACGAGCCATGGGGCCATGGAGGCATGGGTCCATGGGAGCCATGGCGGTCGAGGGCCATGGAGGGTGGGTGGAGGCGGAGCAAGCGGAGCGGGCGGAGCGGGCGGGCATGCACTGGGGGCCCTTTAACGTCATTTGATTGGGTCTAGAGGCATAGGGTCAGGGGACCATGGGGCCATGGCCCAGGAGCCACAAAGTAGGGGGGTTGGTTGTCAAAGCATGGAGACATTGGGGGCCATGGCGCCAGGAGGCATGGGGCCGTGGAGGCATGGGTCCATGGGGGCCATGGAGGGCGGGTGGAGCGGGGGGCGGAGCGGGCGGGCATGCAGGGGCCCTTTAAAGTCATTTGATTGGGTGTGAGGCATAGGGTCAGAAAACCATAGGGCCATGGGGCCAGGAGCCACAAAGTAGGGGGTTGGTTATCGAAGCATGGCGCCAGGAGCCATGGGGCATGGGTCCATGGGGGCGATGGGGGTCATGGGCGGGTGGAGCGGGGGAAGCGCGGAGCAAGCGGAGCGGGCGGAGCGGGCGGGCATTGTGGCCCTTTGGAAATCATGGGGTTCGAGGGCCATGGAGGGCGGGTGGAGCGGGGGAAGGTGGTGGGTGGATTGGGGGTGGTGAGAGGGGGGGCAGGGATGGGGAAGGGGTTGGGGAGGAGGATGGGGTGGAATGGGGGAAGGGGTAGCGGAGGAGGATGGAGTGGAATGGTTGGGAAGAGCTGGCCAGGGGGGGGTTGGGGGGACGGTGATGGTGAGGGAAGTGAGGGGGCCAGCGGGCGGAGGCAGGTGGTCATGCATAGGGCCCGGAGAGGGGGGGGGGTTGGGGGGTGGGTGGGGGGGGGGGGGGGGGTGGGGTGGGGGGTGGGGGGGGTTGGGGTGGGGGAGGGAGGGGGGGGGGGGGGGGGGGGGGGGAGTTGGGGGGTGGAAGGCAGAGGGGCGGAGTAGGCGGGAGAGGGTGGAGTGGAATGGTAGGGGGAAGGGTGGTGGGGAGCGGGGGGCAGGGGAAGGGGTGGTGGGGGGAGTGGGGGGGGGGGGAGGGGGGTCGGTGGAGGAGAGGCTGGAGAAGGGTGGATTGGGGTGGGGAAGGGGTAGGGGAGGAGGATGGAGTGGATGGTTGGGAAGGGGAAGGCGGGGGGGCAGGGGAAGGGGTTGGTGGTGGGAGGGTTAGGGGCGGGCAAGGGTGGGTGGATTGGGGGTGCGGTGAGAGGGGGGGCAGGGATGGGGAAGGGGTAGGGGAGGAGGATGGAGTGGAATGGGGGAAGGGGTAGGGGAGGAGGATGGAGTGGAATGGTTGGGAAGGGGAAGGGTAGTGGGAGGGGCAGGGGAAGGGGAGGTTAGGGGCGGAAGGCAAGGCCAAGCGGAGAGGTGGAGTTGGAATGGTTGGGAAGGGGAAGGGGGAAGAGGTTGCGGCGAGGGCAGGGAGGGTCTTCACTGACGCCGCCCCGCTGTTGCTGGGGTCGGCGGATATTCAAAAGCCCTGCATTCAAGCCAACTCCGGTTGCGAGGCCCTGCTTCTGAGCTCCCATGACGAGAGGGTTCCGCGGCTCCGCCCGTGATTATTTCTGTCTTCCAGGGAGGAATCTCCGAAGGTTTGATTGCCTGCTGATGCCATATTCCTGCCAGGCGTCCACTTGCTTTGAGAGATAGCTTCCAAGCCTCTGGGTCCTTGCGCAGTACTCCAAGACGTCAAGCGGCAGAATAAAGCTGGTTCGCTGGCTTGCTTCGAGCGTTTCAGGCGCCTTCAAGCTGTTGGAAGATGCAGGCGCGTCTACAAAGTGTCACACAGCACAAGTGAATATCACTGGCCGTTGGGTCTGAGCACTAAAGGCCACTTCATTCCGCTGACGAGTCAGAGCCTCGCTTTGACACGGCAACTCTTACAAACCTGAGCCGCTTGAGCCTAGGAGCAGGAGAAGTGGCACAGATCGTGGCCACTGCGCTCTCCCAGTAAAGAAGTGGAGGCGAGGCTGTTTGCATGCTTTGCCGCCCAGCTAAACTGTTCAATTGCCACTGGCCTGAGGCAGATAGGCCGTGCACGAGCAGACCAAAGAATGCTGCACATCCTGGCGGAGGTTCATCTACGGAATGGCAACGGTTTGCCAGATTTTCGTCTTTGGGAATGTCTGGCTTGCAACGAAGCGGTGCGCTGTGTCTTGCCTTGCCGTTGACGACCCAGACTTCACAGAGATACCGAGTTAGAAGGGTAAGATTGCTTTGTCCGTACGTGTCAGACAAAAAAGAGACATGTGCAAAACATGGCCACGGGAATGTGTCATCTACGGATTAGGAAGTGAAGGTAATTCGGCATGGCCGGTCTCCCGCATGGCTTCCCAAAGTCTCCTCCATCGCCAGTGCCCGAGGGAGACGAGGAGGCAACCGAGGGAGACGTGACAGTGGTGAGGAGTACAGTGATTGGGGGCCTTTCAGTGCGGAGGTAAGCCCCTTTCACGATGAAAGGCGGCGGGGAGTTGTCACTGAACTGTTTTGTTGCGATCTCAGGGTGTGGGGGGGGGGGAGGGGGAATCACTCAGCAATGCCAGGTTCAAGGACTGCCCACAAGCTTCGGAGGCTTGGGCACAAGCTTCTGACCCCATCATCTGTGAAACGCCTGGTGAATGCAGGTCTTATCTGGAGAGTCTACCGATTGCAACTGCAGCAAGACGAGCATGTCTTCGTCTCAAGGTGCGCTTAGGTACCCGGTTGAAAACAGCTAAAGGCATAAAGACATCGCTGTCCCCCACTCAAGTGTGACCATGGTCTCAGCCAGGTGGGTCACGAATCGAGACCCTGCAGACCAGAGCTAGATCAGCTGGATGCAAGCTGAGCACACGCGGATCTTGGCATCTAGCACCCAGGAGGCAACCATCAACACAGAAAAAGAGCCTTAAGGACTGCCACATCTGTTTGCGAAGTTGATCCGCTGAGGGGGTCCTGGCTGCTGCATGTGGCAAGTCTGGCACGGCTGCATTTCGCAGCCGCACGCCCCGTTTCCAAGCTCAGCGCAGGGGCATGCCTTCTCAGGCGGGAGTGTACACATCTACCAGTGAAGTTCAGCTGTCGTGTGGCGATTGCTTCGCCAATTTGACAGGCACCTCGTGCTCCACTACGAGAAGTTAATGCTCGATGTGAGGCGCTTTACCTGGAAGGTCGCTGTCGGCAGTTGAGGCCGAGTTGACGGTATCTGCATAGGCCTGTTCAACGTGGCCTGAAAAGTGCAGAGCAGAGCAGGCGAGAACAAGGGAACGGCAAAGAGAACGGCAAAGAGAACGGCAAAGAGAACGACAAAGAGCAGAAGCCTCGTGAGTGCTTGCTGTCGGCTGCTTTGAGTCCCAGTCCATGCATTCCACAGCTCAGCATAGAAGTGCCATGGCCTCAGGCATCAGGATGCCTTGGTGGAGAAAGGAAAGCCGTCGAAGGCTTGGGCTGAGGAGGTCCTCCGCCGACACCAGCAAAAGCTAAGCCATCGTGAGGAACAGCGGCGCTGGAAGGCCCGGTTGAAGCGTTTGCAAAGGTGTGCTCCGAAATCCCCCAAGAAGATTCGGGAACTGTATGCCGCCAGTGGCCCGCCAGCATCAGGCAGAACAGCGTGCAGAAGAGGCCTTTGACGACAGCATGTCATGTCATGCAGCCATGGCGCCCGGAGCAGGGACAACCAGGAAACCGCTGCGCATGTGAAAGCCCACAAACGCCCTGAGAAGGATCTAAAGGAGTGCTCATTTGCACCAAAGCTTGTGGCACGGAGCCATGTTCAGCTGCAAGTCAACAAGGCCGGGGGGGCGGGGGAACTTTCCTGGAGCACGTCTTGACGAATTTGAGCGGAAAGCTATTTCTCACACCAGGGGCGGAGACAGCTTCAACATCTAGCAGAGCGGCAGCAAGAGATACTCCTTCGTCTGGATCTCGTGGGGAAGGAGCGACTCCATCAGCTGGATCTGCCTTGCTTTGGGAACATCGCTTCACTTCATTGAAACGTTGAGGAGGTTTACGTGGAGCCTGCACATCGGCCGTATCCTGCGAGAATGGGGATGCTGGGCTCAAAGCGCGGCGCAGCTGAGTCACTCAGTAGGGCCCGAGCTGCGTTGAGGGCTTGAGGGATTGCGTTCTCTGCAAGGAGCCGATCTCTTCTACTCAATGAGCTGGCGAAAGTAGATGATGAAGCACATTGTGTTATCGGAAGCCTTGTGAAGATAGGGATTCCGCAGGCCCGTCGCCCAGCATGATGTCACTGAGGCATCATAAGGCATCACGGACATCACGAGAAGAGCATGACAATCATGACCATGACCCTTGCCCGCCTTGTCCCAGGTTGTTGAAGAGCCAGATCCCAGCACACTCTGCCCAGACTATGACTCCGGACTCCTTCGCCGGCTGCAGATGGAAGATGCATGGGGCTTCAAGGAGTGATCTCGACCAACACAGGGCCAATGATGGTCCAGGAGTCACTGTTGCGTGAGTTCTGCGGAGGAGCCACCAATTCGAGCTGCAGGTCCACTACCTCCGCACGTCTGAGGGCAAGCCCCACGATGATGAGACAGAGTTGCACAAGCCCTGTGATTCAGAAGCGCATGCTGCGGGGGTTCAGCCTCTAAAGAAAATGGGAGCCCCGATCAACGATGCAACGGCCGGGCAAAATCAATGGGCTAATGAGGCTTATGTTCATGGTACTTGTAGTGATCAAGTAGGACTGATGGTAGAGGAAGTGTTCATGCACAAGAGACCAAGGGCTTTGCACATTCGGATGTGCCATTGCGTAGCCGAGTAGTTTTTTAGTATGTCGTTGTCCCGCCAGCCTCCACAGTCTCACTCAGGCAGACCAAAAAAAATGTGCGACTCTTGACTACTCTTGACGTTCTTGACAAAAGCCTTGTCGCATGGAGCCTCTCCCCAAACGGCGCCACGGGCAGACAGGCGGATGGCGTTGGCGATGGAGGCATGAGAAGAGGTGCGATGGAGAGTGCGTCTCTCCTGAGAATCCTTCCAAGATTCATGCGACAAAAGTGTTTCGATTCTTGCAATCGCAGTGAACTCTTGCAAGCCTTGCGCACAAAGCATCATGCTGCGAGACTTCTATCGCTGTCTCTGGCTCAAGTGAAGAGAAGACAGAGGCACTCATCTATCTCTGAGCCCAGGCAGCGAAGACACAGTTCTGTCAAGAACAGTTGGTCAAGCTTTGCATGCCGGATGCTTCCCAATCTCTCAAGCCTTCTTCGTCCTTCCGAGCCGCCTGGTGTAGATGGCACAGAGTCGGACATCTGAGAGAAAAGAGAGCTTAGCTTGAAGCAAGCGAGAACACAAAGCAAAAGCCGAGAGACAAAATACCACAAAACGGAAGGCAAAAACAGAAATACAAGCCGACCAAAGCCAGAGCCCAGGCCCGGCGCGGTGGCCGCTTGGAGCTCTCCACGCCGCCCAGCCGCAAACCTCCACAGACTAGTTCGGAGCATCTGTCGGAGCATCCCTTAGAGTCTTAGAGCACTTGTCCTCTTGTCATCTCTTGTCCATGCCCAGGGAAGATGACTTGGAAGATCTGCTCGCGCCAGGGCCCTTCCTCGCTGGCACTGGCCAAGTCAAAGCATGGTTTGAAGAGTGGCAAGTGAGGAAGCCCCCCAGCTCTTAGTGCAAACCTGGCGCAGGAAAGCGGATGAGACGGTTCCAGAATTTGACCCCCAGGAGTGTGGGGGCAAGATGATTTAGTTTCCCTCTGCGTGACCACTTCTCCCTGTGTCATCCTAGGAGTACATTCGACCGGGAATTACGGAGGCGGCGCTCGTCCCGGGGACCAGGTAGATGCCGCGCAAGATTGCGATAATGGTGATCGTGGCAGGCAGAAATCCTGGAGATGAAAAGCGCGTTCGACCTGCTCGATGTAGAAGGCGCTCCGATATTTGTACCAGGAGCTCTGATGTGTGCACCGTGGAGCCAAGGCAAAGGCCGCCTCAACCTTGAGGACGGGTGCTGCTGGGTGTTGTTCCTCTGACCGCGTCTTATTCGCCCCTGCTTCAACTTCCTTGCCAGGAAGCCATCGACAACTTGGAGAACCTGGGATGGGACAGGCCCGAATGCCAACGGGATGTTCGGGAATTTCGTGGAATTGGCAGCAAAAGCACATGTTTCGTGTGCAGGCTGGAGCAGGAGCCGTTAATGGTGGCCATTCGTGCCTGCCGGCGGAAGGGGGTGAAGACGGACTTTGCAGGCAACAGAGGGGGGGGGGGGGTTTAGGGCTTAGGGTTTAGGGTTTGGGGTTTAGGGTCTAGGGTTTAGGGTTTAGGGTTTAGGATTTAGGGTTTAGGGTTTGGGGTTTGGGGTTTGGGGTTTAGGGCCATTGCCCAAAAAGGGTTTAGGGTTTAGGGCTTTTGGGAGGCTCGGGCCTGGCCTAAGGCTTGTTGCAGTCGAGGCTTTATGGATGCAATCGGCCCGCTCCTTGCAGCGACGGAGCCTACGCAGGTGCGCCTTGCTTATGCCGCAGCCTGCTGTGTTCAGACCCACATTGCAGCATATTCTCCACACCCTTGAAATCAGGCCCGCCAAGCATCATGAGCATCAGCCTAGGGCCTTCTCACATCAGGCCCGCCAAGCATCATGAGCATCAGCCGCGGGCCCTCTCACGTCAGCCGCGGGCCCTCTCACATCAGGCCCGCCCACGGCCAAGCATCATGAGCATCAGCCGTGGGCCCTCTCACATCAGGCCCGCCCAGCATCATGAGCATCAGCCGCGGGCCCTCTCACATCAGGCCCGCCCACAGCCAAGAATCATGAGCATCAGCCGTGGGCCCTCTCACATCAGGCCCGCCCAGCATCACCCTCTCACATCAGGCCCGCCCACAGCCAAGAATCATGAGCATCAGCCGTGGGCCCTCTCACATCAGGCCCGCCCAGCATCATGAGCATCAGCCGCGGGCCCTCTCACATCAGGCCCGCCCACAGCCAAGAATCATGAGCATCAGCCGTGGGCCCTCTCACATCAGGCCCGCCCAGCATCACCCTCTCACATCAGGCCCGCCCACAGCCAAGAATCATGAGCATCAGCCGTGGGCCCTCTCACATCAGGCCCGCCCAGCATCATGAGCATCAGCCGCGGGCCCTCTCACATCACGCCCGCCCACAGCCAAGAATCATGAGCATCAGCCGTGGGCCCTCTCACATCAGGCCCGCCCACGGCCAGGCATCATGAGCATCAGCCGCGGGCCCTCTCACATCAGGCCCGCCCGCGGCCAAGCATCATGAGCATCAGCCGTGGGCCCTCTCACATCAGGCCCGCCCACGGCCAAGCATCATGAGCATCAGCCGTGGGCCCTCTCACATCAGGCCCGCCCAGCATCATGAGCATCAGCCGTGGGTCCTCTTACATCAGGCCCGCCCAGCATCATGAGCATCAGCCGCGGGCCCTCTCACATCAGGCCCGCCCACGGCCAAGCATCATGAGCATCAGCCGTGGGCCCTCTCACATCAGGCCCGCCCAGCATCGCATCAGCCGCGGGCCCTCTCACATCAGGCCCGCCCACGGCCAAGCATCATGAGCGTCAGCCGTGGGCCCTCTCACATCAGGCCCGCCCAGCATCATGAGCATCAGCCGCGGGCCCTCTCACATCAGGCCCGCCCACGGCCAAGCATCATGAGCATCAGCCGTGGGCCCTCTCACATCAGGCCCGCCCAGCATCGCATCAGCCGCGGGCCCTCTCACATCAGGCCCGCCCACGGCCAGGCATCATGAGCATCAGCCGTGGGCCCTCTCACATCAGGCCCGCCCAGCATCAGGAGCACCAGCCTCGGGCCCTCTCACATCAGGCCCGCCCACGGCCAAGCATCATGAGCATCAGCCGTGGGCCCTCTCACACCAGGCCCGCCCAGCATCAGGAGCATCAGCCGCGGCCCTCTCACATGAGGCCCGCCCACGGCCAGGCATCATGAGCATCAGCCGTGGGCCCTCTCACAGCAGGCCCGCCCAGCATCAGGAGCATCAGCCGCGGGCCCTCTCACATCAGGCCCGCTCACGGCCAGGCATCATGAGCATCAGCTGTGGGCCCTCTCACATCACTCCAGGCCCGCCCAGCATCAGGAGCATCAGCCGCGGGCCCTCTCACATCAGGCCCGCCCACGGCCAGGCATCATGAGCATCAGCCGTGGGCCCTCTCACATCAGGCCCGCCCAGCATCAGGAGCATCAGCCGCGGGCCCTCTCACATCAGGCCTGCCCACGGCCAGGCATCATGACTCTCACATGAGGCCCGCCCAGCATCAGGAGCATCAGCCGCGGGCCATTGCGGGCCCTTTCACATCAGGCCCGCCCACGGCCAGGCATCATGAGCATCAGCCGTGGGCCCTCTCACATCAGGCCCGCCCAGCATCAGGAGCATCAGCCGCGGCCCTCTCACATCAGGCCTGCCCACGGCCAGGCATCATGAGCATCAGCCGCGGGCCGTCCCAGCTTCTCGCAAAGTTTGCCAGGAGAGCCTGAGGCGTGCCTGGCGTCTCCTCGATGAGAACCGCAAAGGCCACATCGACATGGAGGTGGGCAAAGGGCGCACAGGTGCTTCAGTTCCTACAACATTTCAAGGTGCTCATCCCTCCCAACTCCACGCACACACAATTGGAAGTTTGTTTTAATAGATGGGGATTCAGGAGCTCCGCCTTACAAATCGGGCGCCCAATTACCAATTCACCTGTGAATAACTTTTGGCTTCCCTTTCTGAGATGCGCCTGTCCATCTACTGCAGGAGCACGTTCGAAAAGTAGAGATGCAAGATAGTTAGGGCATTGGAAAGTCCATGAAGCAAACGTGGGCAGACACAGGCATTCTCTTCACGTCCATCGCAGCTGTTGTTTCACCAACTCCCACGAAACCTTCACGAAAGCGACAAAAGGGATCGAGGGCCGGTCGAACAAGGAAAGGACAACATCACCACCGGAAAGGTATCCAACAGCGCTTGTGCTTCCGTGAGTCCGTGGAGGATTTGAGCCGGGTCGTGCACAGCTTTGGCCTGGAGCTCTCCATCGAAGAGCTCCGCGACATGGTCAGGAACACAGAGGGGGCATTTGTTGGCCAACTGTTGGCCTCTGTTGGCCGTTACAGGGTGCTGTCAGCAGCAGCAAGGCTGTGTCCCTCAGCGTGAGAGCGAGAGTGCGCAGAGAAGACGAGATGCTGATGCCGTATGCCCGAGCCGAGTTGGCATACCCATCTTCCGACCCGACGGAAAGTCGAGGACGTCTTGCATCGTACGCCGCCACACCTTCGGCACGGACCATGTCTTTGGTACACGCGGAAGCAGAACCCAAAAGGGTGAGAAGCGTACCTCCTGGAAGGTGGAGGGCCCGTGGCTGCGTGCTGCTGGCTTCAGGCCCACCGGGGACAACGACCAACACACTGCTGGCCTTGCGGGCCCGCGCGGTACAACAGTGGTTTCGAAAGCATGCCGCATGCCTATCGCGGTCAGGTTGGGAACAGTCCGTCCCACTCAAGCTTGCAATCCATTCTCAAAGTATCTCGAAAGAGGGATGCCCCCATTATCATTGCACCAAAATATGATGCGGCGGGTGGTGGTGATGTGACAGTTGAGTCGGCTGAGTCCACACGAACGGCGTGGTCTTATCAGGTCCGTGTGTGAGGTTGGACGGGCATCTGGGAGCTTGCTGGAGTTGGTCGAGCTCGCGAGCCCCCAAAACCCACGGCGTGAGGCCGAATGGCAGGTGGCCAAAAAGAAACCCACGGCGAAGAAGGAAAGAAGAAGAAGAAGAATAAGAACAAGGAGAAGAGGAAGAAGAAAAAGAGGCAAAAGAAGAAGAGGAAGAAGAAGAAGAAGAGGAGGAAGAAGAAGAGTCGTCATGTATGTCCATATTTCATGGCTCAGCCAGCATCCAGGTCAGCTTCTGCGACAAGAACGGCAGCAGCGAGGCCCATATGCGGCTGGACTTCCTTCTCAGTTCACCCAAACAGTTCTCTCTCTCTCTCTCTCTCTCTCTCTCTCTCTCTCTCTAAAGATCTTGACAGATCACCTTCGACGAGTTCTACCAAATGCTGTCGAAGCACCAGTAGCGGCCTGCTGGGGCAAAGATGTACCCTGCAGAAGTGCTAGAGAGCCTTGTTGCCTGCTGCACGACGTTTCACAATGTCTCACACTCGTGATTGCCAATTTTTGCCTTATGATCCAGTAGTGAGGGGCATGTGCAACCAAAAAGAGCGTGCTCTGCATCTCCTCTCTAGTCGTCGTTTCGAAGACAATTCCCCACAGCATTCTGGGTCGGCGCATGTCGTCGCAGTGGCTCTGAAAACTCGGGATGCCGGTGCTGCCCTCCTGTCATGGTGAACCCGAACGCCAGATTTGAGACGACAGAAGGCCAGACTCAAACGGTGTTCCCTGGATGTTAGTGGGTGGTTGCTGAAGGAGTCTTCACCGCGGAAATCTACTTGGACAGGGTGCGCCCCCACCCGAGGGACGCTAGCGCCTGCTCTTTTCCATGTTTGCTTTGGTCATGTTATCATTCATGACTCGTATTCGCGTCGGGGTGCCTTGCTGGCTTGCTCCGCTCCAGAGATGCCTCGGGGACAGCTTCTTGTTTTATCCGAAGCATTTTGAGCATGATCAGCCAACAGCTGGTGTATGGATAGGATGCGGCCATGCCGGAGGGGGTTTCTTGGCGAGGTTCTGTGGGAAACGTTGTTGTGGCCTCTGGCATCTTTTGACCAAAGGAAAGCATGCGTAGCAACTGGATCTCAGGTGACACCATGCCCAAGACCTCGACGTCCCTGGCAGGCGCGTTCATGCAGTGCAGTGCAGAAAATACGTCGTGAACGACGTCGCCATTGAGGCGGCGAATCATCACCCAGCAGGTCGATGACACGGACACGCACCACCAGATGCTAGTCTTATTCTTTTGGAGGTACATGGTACACACATGGGTCTCACACCCCGAACGGCAGTCCCGCCAAGAATGCGCTCCCCACACTCCGCAAAAAGAATGCGCTCCCCACACTCCTCTCAGACTTTCCAAACTTAAAAGCTTTAAAATGGAAAAAGGCCGCGCGTGAACGTCCAAGGCAGGCAGGCTTTCCTGTCGGCCACGGCCCAGGCCCAGGGCCGCACGATCACGCGCCGAGCCTGCAAAGTGGTGGTCGGGTTGTTTGGGAGTGCCGCTGACACATGTCACTGCATCCGAAGCGCGAAGCCCGCTTCGTGAAACCGAAGGCAGCAAAGCTTGGAAGTTGATCTGCCGTGCCTTGCCTTGGTGCGGATCACCCGGTGATGTTGGAAGGGAGCCCAGAATAGTTTTTGAGAGTTCGTGCCCTTCCCCTGTTCGGCTTGGCACTGTCTTGACCTCGTGAACATGGGGCCTGGGAGACTCGCATTTTGGTTGGATCTTGCACTTCAGCTTGACCTGCCAAGATATCTCAAGGCAAGGGGGGAGGTCTCGACATGCTACCTGTAGGAACTTGCCCCCGTTCTGCAAGCTCCCGGCTATGAAGATTGGGGCTTGGAGTCGGCTTAGGCCACCAAACAGCGCTACTGAAAGCCTTTTTGGTGCCTTTCGGCAGGCAAGAAGCCAGCTCCAAGTGGCAACGCTTGAAGCAGGCGGTTCCAAGCAAAGCTTCCATTACCAAGCTGGTGCCCCAGATTCTTAAGGAACCTGCAGGACCCTTTCCCAGTCAAAGCTTCAGTGCTAAGGGCGTGTTTAGGGTTTAGGGTTTAGGGTTTAGGGTTTAGGGTTTGGGGTTTAGGGTTTAGTGTGACTTTGCAAGCCAGTTGCAAAAGGGTTTAGGGTTTAGGGTCTAATATCCTGAAGCCCGGGCGTGCAGGACTCGATGTTGCAGCTCGACGGACGATTTTTGGCCACGCGCGGCAATTCTTGCAACCCGGCATCAAAAGCTCCAAAGGTAGAGACTTCATGTCTCGCATGGAATGGTCGGACTGGGTTTTTATTCTTACGCTGTACGGTTGTTTCCTTATGTTTACTTGTTTTATCTGTAGCCCAGAAACCATTCCAAGCTCTTAGGGAATTTCCCTTAGTGTTATTCTCGTCCGTTGCCTTCTTATGCGCCAGGGTCTGCCTTGTATGCCGTTTCGGTAGTTGTCACGAAAGCTAGCTCCTTCATCTCTTGTTTTGGGACAAATAGGTCAAATAGGACTTGAGGGCCTTAGTCCCTGATATCTCAGAGATTTAAGGCGTCGCGGAGAGGGTCTCCCGCCCCAGTCACAAGGCGATGCGCGTCGTGGGGTGTAAAGGGTTGGGGGGGGGGGGCGGGAGGGGAGCTTCTCGAATTTTCAAGACATCCAGGCCCCCCCCCCATAACCTTTCTCGGACCCTTTGGTATCTTCAATTTATGCTAACATACACTACGGTTTCGCACACAGACATGTTCTCGTACATGTGATGCTGCCCCTTGTGATCTTCAACTCATGCTGACATACGCTACGGTTTGGCAAATCGCCGGTTTGTTTTTTCTTCCAATCCCGCGCAATGTAACAAAGCCAAGACAAATCCGAGCCAAAGCCAAGCCTTACTTTTACAAGCCGAACACACTTGCATCAGGCATCAGCCCAGCTTGGGCCATCTCAACGCCCAACCAAGCCACGTCCTTTTATGTCCATATCCTCCTTTCTTCACAAACGAGACGATTGCACTCCCCAAGCACCTTCGTAAGGTGATTGCAAATTGGTGGGGCTGCACTCCTGCTTTATGACAAATTAAGCGAAAGCCAAACTACATTTTTCAGGGCGGGTACGTTTGCATTAGACCAGCCACAGCCAATGTATAGACATATCCCCCCTTCTCTACACAAGCAACACATCAGAATACCCAAGCCAAAGCAGAAGCCGAAGCCGAAGCCGAAGCCGAAGCCAACGACAACGCCAAAGCCAAGGCCATGGCCAACACCAAAGTCAACACGAAGCCAAAGCCCAAAGCCCAAAGCCAAAGACAAAGCCAAAGCCAAAGCCAAAGCCAAGGCCAAGCAAGCCTGGCATTGCATCAGGCATCAGCCCAGCTACAGCTATCTTAGCCAAGCCATGTTTTTCATTAGCATGCTCCCCATCGGTTCACGAACAGACGTTTGAATCCCAACAGAGCACTTGGTGAGGTGGCACATAAAAGAAACCAATGCCTGGACTCAGAACTCGCTTGCAGAACAGGAGAATCTGGACAGCGTAAAGAGAAACACCCTTAGCATTAAAATACAAGACTTTCAGCATAGCGGGGGCGGGAAGGGTATAACAAAAAACACGGTGCAGCATAAATGAAATTCGCGAAGGCAAACAGCATAAGGCCAGCAGAAGAAGAAGAATAAGAAGAAGAAGAAGAAGAAGAAGAAGAAGAAGAAGAAGTCGTTGTCCTCTTATGGACTGGGTTTTATCGCTGTCCGTCTCCTTATGCAACAAGCACGTGCCAAGGCAGCGCAACAGGTCTGAGCAACCTGAGAAAGCAATGCTGATGATTCAATCTGTTGTAGCGGGTGGCCCGGCAGCAAGTCCTCTGATCCTGGGTGGTATGTCCCAGCTTGCATCAGCTTGCATCGGCAGGAGCCAAGAACCACGGACAGCAAAAGGGCTTCGTGCACCCTCTCTCAATTGGCCTATTTGGCAATGCTGACTGGCTGGAATATGAATAAACTTCAGGACGGCCTTGCATGAGAACGCCGAAGAGAAGAAGCAAGAACGGATAGAGCGGATTCTCCAGGAAGAAACTGAGCAGGGCCTTCAGTCGTTTGCACCTCGGTCGCATTTGTCATGCATGACACGGTAGCAACTCGCGAAGTTTCTTGTCTTGCAGTGCCAAGGATCTGTCTTACCAACTCGGTGCTTTACAATCCTCGGACTTGCTTGAGGAAGCGATCCTCCAGGCCAGTTACACGTAGGGCCTCCTTTCCCATCACCTCCTCGTTCCTTTTGATCCGCTGTCGGAGATGATGATGACCCCAGGCAGCACGGCTGAAGGAACTGGCAGAAGACTCCGAGGCTCGAGTTGCTTCAACCTGCGAAAGCTGCATGTCCCGTAGTTCCAGGCGCACGAAACTCTCAAGCAGATCCATGAAACTATCTCCAGCTGTGTCCGCAGGGCTCTCAGAGGTTGCACGTTGTATGTGCAGTTTAGGGGTGCTCCGCACTTTGTGCTGCAAGATACTTGTTGTGTGTGCACCTGGCAAGTCTGCCGAAATTCGGTAACGATGACAAGGCATGAAGGCTGCTCAGACAACACGCATGATAGGGCTTGGATGGGGCATCTCCAATGTTCCTAAGAAGGCCGGGAGACCCGATAGCACAGCCCTCGTGCTGGGCCCTGAATTTCGTTCAGTTTCTTTCGTAGGAGTACTTCTTGATACACTAAAGAAGAGGCAGAATAGGCTAAGCCACGTGTGCCTACAAAGAAGCGGACAAACTGGCTTGGAGCCATGCTTACCAGAAAAAACGAAGAGACAGGAAAGACATAGAAGCATTCCAGATATGAGGCAGGTGAGCTGACACCGACTGATCCCAGATGCTGCCAATGGTTACGTGCCGTAATAGAGCGCGCACACATAGCAGTTCCTGCAAGTAATCTTGTAAATCTTGTACTAGACAAATGGGGTTTTGGCGCCATCCCCAGATTGATGCCCCAAACTCCGAGCAGGTATCCCTACTATCCCTGACTTTGGTTTCCTTGCAGCTGCACATATCTTAGGGTCAAGTTACGAGGGTATGCGCCACGCAGGGCGGCATGCAACAGCACTTGCAGCAACAGCGGCGCTATATGGCAAGGATGGCATGCATCATTGGGACAATAGCCCTTGTCGATGAGCTGCATCTGGATGCCGTAGAATGAACGCCCCCGGAACTCCGACGTTGCATTCTCCTGCATCGAATTGTCTCTTAGGCATGCTCGATGACCTGCGGGCAGCGCTGGACATGGACACGCAGAGGATCAGGCAGAAGGGAGCACTTCCACTGAAAACCAAGCCACTGCGGCTTAACGGGCTTGACGCGACGCGATGATTTCGCCAGCATGTTCCGTGCGCCTGCTGCAGTGATGCCGCGGAGCTCGAAGAGTGCAAGATGCGGGTAAAGAACTTGGTTCAGGATTTGCAGTGTCGCTTGGCAACAGGACCATGTGTTGCATTCGTGTTATTTTGCGCCACGTCCAATGGTTTGGTGTTGTCTGAGGTGACATTGATGCGATGATGGATGTACTCGCTCAGGCCAGCACTGCCAGCAGTAGTCGCTGGCCATGGGTTCCAGCGAGATTTTCTGCTTGGATTTGCACATGTTCCCTTCAGGCTAGAAGTCCCCAACGCTCACCAAAAGCCAAGCAGAAGTTCACGGAGACAGCGCAGCTTGCATCTGTCTTCTGTGACGTACCCTGGCTGCGCTTGCGGTGAGGCCTTCACTCATGCGTACTGAGCTGGAAACGTTCCTGGCCAGGGCGCTGCCAAGCTGATCCAGTTTAGTATGCTGCGCCTGGACGAGTCTCTTGGACGAGATGTGATGAGATGGCAAGGGCTGCGAGTGGTCCCATAGATGTCAGTTGATGGCCCAGGATCTTTGAAAAGGGCTGTCCTTCACCGGATGAAGCCGTCCAGAGGAAGGCGTGGGTCGATCGACAAACGTGCTGCTGTTATTGCAGTGTTTGATCTGGGGTGGGAATCAAACAGTGATTCTGAAGCAATCGCCGGAAACGCTGCAAAAGATGCAGGGCAGCGCACCGATGGATGTAGGGAAGGTAAGACAGGAAGCCAAGTGTAGTCCTGCGGCCACAGCGCCGATCCTTTGGCTTCTGTTTGCAACACGAAATTGCGCGCACATGCTCCGTGCCCCTAGAACTCCCGCCCACTCGCAATCAGCTCCCGCCCACTCGCAATCAGCCAAAAGCATGCCAAACTAGCGCGACTTCTTGAGCAAGGAAGTCACAGTCAAATGAGATGATGCATTGCAGAAGAGCAATGAAGAACGAAACTGCCAAGTTCATGTCCATCTGAAGATGTCGCTTGGCCCGCTTGACGGGCACGGTCCAACAGTGCCCCTCTCAGCCCGCCAGGTGCAGGAGGAATGTGATGAGCCTGAAGGGAGGCGAGAAGATGCGGAGGCGGCAAGTCCTGATGAGGACGAGGAGGATGAGGAGGATGAGGAGGATGAGGAGGATGAGGAGGAGATGGAGGCAGAGGAAGCTCAGGCGCAGAAGGAGGAGGCGGACGAGGAAGCCGAGGAAGCTCGGGTGGAGAGGGAGGAGGCGGTGGGGGCAAAGGAGGCGGTGGAGGGACAGGAGGCGGTGGAGGCAGTGAGGGCCGATGAAGCACAGGAGGCAGTGGAGGCGCAGGAGCCACAGGAGGCAATGGCAGAGGCAGTTGAGGACAAGTCCGAGGAGGAGATGGAAGAAGTGGCGGAGGAAGTAAAGGAGGGCAAAGAGACCCCAGCACACGCAGAGATGTTAGGTTCGGAGAGTGCCCGAAGTACACGCAAGGTCGATCAGATCTCCTTTCACTTGGAAGACCGGGAAGGCACCTCGAGCTCAGAAGAGTCAGAGGCGTCGCACGGTGCCCCGAAATCCGCGCCCCGCCATCCCAGCCATCGCCCACATCACCTGGGCTCTCGCCAGGCCTCGCAGAGGGTCCCGGTCCCATCTCCGGAATCTCCAGACGAAGGAAAGAAGGCTGTGGAGGGAGCCTCGGAGACAGATGACATCAGGATTGGGCCACGAAAGCGCAAGAAGCCCAAGAAGGCGAAGCCGAAGCCCGTGGTCAAGACGAGAATTGAGATTCTCCCACCGGTGAGGCTTCCATGTTTGTCTTGGTCGCGCAACCGGAAAAACACGGCCGGGGAGCTTGCGAAAGAGGGTTTTCTCTCTGTTTTCTTGTTCCGCTGCGCCAAAGGGTTGTGCATCCTGTCCTGTCAGCATGTCGTGCCCTTAGGCCGACTTGGACTGGACTATGGAGGACTTGAACGCAGATGAGCTGACACTTCTGACCTCGGTCATCGACGAGGATGAGCCCTACAACAGCCACCAAAGTGTCAGCCATGATCCTGCGAAAGAGCGCGCCCTGGCTGAAAATCAGGGCATTTGCATGCCAGGAATCCCTTCCAGATCCAGTGGTGTCCCGTGGGACATGAGTGAGGCCTTTGGAGGTCTGTCTTCGGCCTGGACGACGCGTCTTCCGCAGCCAGTGTTCCACGAGCGCTACAGCTGCCACAGCTGCTGCCGAAGTCGGGACCTGACTCCCCACAGGCCAGGGCACTTTTGCGACTTCGCGTGGCATCACATCCCGCTACGAACACTTGTAACCATCTGCTCTGTCACGCTGCAGACCCCTTCGAAGCACAAGCACTTGGCACATTTGGTAGCAGCTGGGCGCTGAATTTAAATGACTTCCATGAAGCGTTACCCTCTCCGTCTCGCCAACGTCAGGATGCAAATGTGCCCAAACCTGCCCAGGGGGCACTGCCCTTGTTCTTTCCATTTGGTACATAATTTCATACTTACCCCCTACTACTTGGTACATGTTGCCATACTATTTCACTATCTGAGGGCTCTCCCCCAAGGATCACCCGCAAACTCCACGGACGCCACGGTCGCCATGCCGCCAGGCCTCTTTGGCATTCAGTGCTACAAGATTTTTCTTCAGAAGTCTTTGGATTCCTTGAATTCTTTGGATTCTTTGGACTCTGCAAGTTGAGTTGTGGAAAACAAGATGGAACTACCATGGAATGCACGCGAAAGCACTTTGCTGGTGTGGGCAAGGCCAAGCTCTCCTAGGGTCCGGCAAAGCCGCCACCGCTTGGCTCAGGCTGACCCCTCGCTGTCTCTGCTGCTACTAATGTTGAGGTAATATTTATAAAGCATTAAGCAGCTACTGCACTAATGTTGAGGTAACAGTCAGAAAGCATCCAACAACTGCTTTTCTGGCCGCTCCGCCGTCGCAGGTGTCATCAAACGGGGTTCGAGTCCCCTCTTGCATGCTCGTGCTGCGGGTGGCCACCGTGCGGCTTTTTAGAGAGAGGAGCTCTTGGCCTCGTTCTCGAGAAAACCAGTGGTAGGCATTGGAATTCCGAAAGCCGCCAGAGTTCATGGAAGGTCGGAGTGTAGACTCCGGGCTTCCAATTTAGTGTTGCGGTGCGGCTTTGCCGTACATGGTGCCAGTCCAGGCCTCCGAAGGAGTGCCCTCAGACCTCTTATACCACGCGCGTTAGCTCCTGGAAAGAGTCCTGTGCCTGTGCCTCACAAGTTTTCGGGAAGCTCGAGTTCGATCCAGGGCTCTTGGTTGGCTCAGTTTCCGTATCCCCCAGAGGTACCACTGACAGCTTCGAACTTCATCGCGCGGAGCCAAGGGGGTGGGCCCCCGACTCCTGGGGCCCATTAATCCCTGTTGCTAAACATCCGAGGACTTGGCACGGTCCGGATTTTTCAATGGGCTCCATTTCCACCGAGTCATCCCTGACTTCATGGCGCAGCACCCCGCCTGGAGATGTTTCATGAGCCCCAGCTGTCAGCCACCATGCACAACTCCGAGGTTTGGCTGCCCCTTCTCGAGGGACCGGGCCAAAGCTGTACAACTTAGCTTCAATTGGAGTTTCTTGTTGCGCCAGCAGAGGCACGCTTCAGCATGCCCCCAGCATAGCCAAGCACCCCAGTAGCCGCAGGATCCACACTGCAAGAGCCTGGGCCTCGGAGCCTGCACGCCTTGCATCATGCCTGGCCGCATGTGTTGCTGAAGGGGCTGGAAGTGGCGGCCCACGTGATGGGACTGCTTTGACTGCTTTGACTGCTTGGATTGCTTTGGCAGCATGTATTGGAGTCGCCTTCGTTGCTGCCCCTTCGCTGCCGCAGGACCTTCCCGAACCTACAGACAGGGGCAGCTGAAAGGCGCTACGGCGGCGGCAACATCCAGGAGCTTCACTCTTCAGTTGTGGTCAGGGTATGTCATGAGATGCCAGGATGAGCTGATCTCCAAGGACAGCAACGCGCCCGGGACCCTCGCCATGGCAAACTGTGGACAGCCGAACACAGGTGACTCCATGCACCCTCGTCTTTATCCCCCTGGGCGAGCCTACCCTGTCCCGCTAGTGACCACTAATGAGCTGCGAATGCAGGCGGTTCGCAGTTCTTCATCAACGTGGCGGACAACAGCTTTCTCGACTGGTTTTCTCCGGGCCAAGCCCTCTGAGCGCTGACTGCTCTTGGCCGCGATTCTTGCGAGCTGACATCGTTTCCGAGGTACGTCAAAGCATCCTGTATTTGGCAAGATCACCAGCGGCTACGACGTGGTGGTGGAACTCTTGGCCTTTCCATTCTGACATGGCATGCAAACCTCCCTGGATAAAGTAGGTTCGACTCTCCAGAGTGGAGACACAGGATGATGTGCCCACGAAGCAGCAGCCCCAACTTCTTGCCATCATTTCTGGAACACACATGCATGTCATTTGTCTTGTGGCCCGCAGCTGCAAACCCAACAGCATTGGTCGGCACAACTGGCCCACGTCGACCCCAGGTCTTTTTTTGACAGCCGATGATATTTCTTGCCCACTCCCTGCCAGAAACATCCCTAACGATGTGCCAAGGCCAGTGCAGATGCTGGCAGTGAGCATCGTTGGCAAAACGCCGATGTAAGAGTCACATTGCCCCCCGACAGTTCATGATGCAGCCGCGCCCTGCGGGACATGCAGAAAAGTGCGCACGACCGGGGTCAAGTCCCGTCTCAATAATAGACACGGGCGCTCATGTGGTGTGCCGATCTCGCTAGGCTGGCTCAGGCTACGCCACGCACATGCACAGACGCATGAAGCAGCCAGTGACAGCCGATGTACTGACATGCTACACAACCAGCTCAGTGAGAAAGCACTCCTGCAACGGGCCTGCTAGCCGTGATGAGTGGTGACAGCGCGAATTTTGATGACACCGTGGCCCTTGTGAGAGCTTGCCACGTGGGCCACGAGGCTGCTGTACGACTGCTGCTGGCGGAGGGGCTCTCGCCGTCTTCGGCGGATGCAGAGGGCAATTCAGCCGTTTGCTTGGCTGCCGGTGCTGGACAGTCAGCGGTCGTCCGGATCTTGCTTGAAGCCCGGGCATCCCTAGAGGAGATAGACGTGCACGACCGGACGCCGCTGTGTTTGGCCAGCATGCGTGGCCGAAAGGAGGTCATTCGAGAGCTTCTTGACGCAAGAGCAGATCCAGAAACTGTCGGTGTCGACGGACTTCGCCCGTTGATGATCGCATCTCGTGCGAATCAACCTCAGGCTGTGAGCTTCCTGCTTTCGGCACGCGCGGACGTGAACGCTGTGGATGAGGATGGCGCCAGCTCTCTGATCTGGGCCGCAAGCTCTGGGAGCACTCGGGTGCTGCCACTGCTGCTTGCGGCACGTGCCGACATGGAGTGTCGTGACATCGAAGGCGCCACCCCTTTGGCTCTGTGCTCAGATCAGCTGGGTACAGTTAATTAAAGTCCATGATTCTTTCTTCGCCTTTGCAAGGCATGGGCGGCTTCAGAAGGTGCGGTGCTAAGTGTCTGGATGAGCCAGCAATCGGCTCGCGACTCCACAAAGGACAGGACGAGGTTCTGCAGAAGCTGCTCGAGGCTGGGACAGGCATGAATGCTCAAGCAATGCTCAGGCAGCAGTTTTCGAGTGAGGCACGGGCCCATCCGGATGCTGCAGACAACGCTGGGTGGCCCCAGCACTGCCCCAGTCCTACGATGTCGTGTGCAGTGAGCTTTGGCAGGCGCACGCCTCTCAGCTGGGCCGCAGGCCTTCAGTCCTACGTCCTAGGGGTCCTAGGGTGTCTGTCCACAATGGAACATTTCGGCAGTTTGGTTTTGCTCGAGGCCGTGGGCAGGAGATCGCTGCCAAGGCCATGCATTGAGATGTCTGACGTGTCGCGACTCACGAAAGCTTGCCAGGCACTGCTGGTCGCAGGAGTCGATTGCTTAGCTTCTTTTGTTTCGGTGCTTTTGGGTTCTTTCATTATGTCTTGTATTGGGAGAAATTATACTCAGGAACTCAATGCGGAGCAAACAAGAAGAAATGTAACGCTGATAGAAAACTCTTGAAATCCAATATTCAGTGCCAAAGGACTGAGATTTTGCAAGTAAGGCTAGTGGAAATGAAAATATGAAAGCAAGTACCTTAAAATCCCTTGGATGGCCACATAAACCAAAAAGAGCTTCAAATCCTCTGACTGCCAAGGCGGACCTCACCAAGAAAGATGGTGCAGGCCTGTCCGCTCAGGAATGGGCAGCGGCTGAGGGGTGTGAGGATGCGTTCCTCAGGACGCTGCTGCAATGCTGCGCTGATTTCTTCGAGCTCTTGCACGAGTCATGCAGTCTTGTTGTAGGACCCTCGCTGCCCTGAACTAGCCCTGGCCCGGTTTCCTGCGTGGAAAGCCATGTACATGTTGGACCCTGTGCTGTTGGAGAAAGCCGGCCGTCGCCTTGCCGTCCTTCTTTCTCACTTTCTGTCACGGAACAGTGGGCGCTGTGACATGTTCACTGCTTCCCTTTTGTCTTCTTGGCTGGGAGGTGCTGAAAGAAACCACAAGAGACAAGTGTGGACCAACCCATAGGCCTGACCCGACCCTTGCTAAGCCATGCCAAGACATTCCCTGTGTCCTGAAAGCCCGGATGGCTAGACATGTGACGTACCCTTGGCACCCAAATATCCCTCATTATTGGGGCTCTATTTACCTCCAGTTTAGTAGAAAACTACCCCCTTAATTGGTAGGTATAGCCCATAAAGCTGTAGGTAAAGACGGTAGCCGCCACGGTGTGTGACCACAAAACCGGCAGAGCAAGCTTCCAACAAGCTTCTGCGCGGATGAGATGTCGCCATGTCCGGCTTCGGGATTCCTGGACTGCTCGAGCAGTCTCAACCTTTGCTGTATGGGTTACGTACTAATTTGTATATACATATGCATAAATAAATAAATATATATATATATATATATATATGTACATATATATATATGTATCAATTGCATGAATATTGTTCAAAATATGGATATCTTAGTATATAACTATATGATGATGTGATTATACGACTATGTGAAGGCAAGCGGTATGGGCGTTCCAAGGTGGAAGTCCAGCTGGCTTGATCCAGCCCTGGACTACATTGAAGGCCGTGTCTCGCAGATGTCTTGGAGCCATGTTGAAACTGAAGCCTGCCCCAGGAAACAAGCCGAAAACAGATTCACATCTCAACGAGGCAGAAAGCTGGAAAGATCTCGGGGTCAATGCAGCTGTGGTGCTTGTCTTACCAGATGCATGGATGAGGCAAGCAATGAGTACTTTGAGGAAGAGATTAAGGCGGGAGTGCGACACGTGTTCCGTCAGCATCAGCGAAGTTGCATACTTGTGCGGCAGGCTTCAACCAGAAACTTCGATTCGAGCTGCTTGCTGGGCTCTGGGACCTTCGGCAGCGTCTGACCCTCAACGCTATGCAGGAGCTGCTTGCGTGCATCAAGCCCATGTTGTCACACCACGCCGGACCAACAAGGTATACCGTGGAACTATGAGAGATGGGACGGAAGTTGCCATCAAGGCAGGACTTGAGTAGCGTGTTTCAGCCTACGGCACTGTGCGATACGACTCTGCAACGGATCTCGGGCCATGCTTTTGGGACTTTTCAGGTCCTGCAAGTGCCAGAGGAGGCAGGCTTCGAGGAGGAGATTAAGGTGGCCCCCAACAATATCTGGGGGTTTCCGAAAATTAAGGGACCCTCAGTGCCTTAATATAGTCCCCCAGATAGTAGGATTCCCTATTCATAGGGACCCCAATAAGGTACCCCTAATTTCGGAAACCCCCATCTGCTCCACCCTTCTTGCAGCAAGAGCTCTCGGCAAATTTTAACGACGCCCTTCCGTCATCAGGTGCTCTCGAGATTCCGACATCCGAACCTTGTGATCCTCATGGGGTTCGCACGGCACGCGGCAACGTCACGCCTGCCCTGTTGTTTTGTTCGGATCCTAAGCTTGCTTCAAGGGATCTTGAGATTAACTTGCGCACCTTGCTGGATGTTGCCGGGATTTTTCCCGGGTGGCATTTGGCCCAAGTGCGATTCTGTTATTGTTTGTTGAACATGCCCGAGATGGGTGCAGCCGCTGCCTCAGAGGCAGCGACATCTTCAGCGACATCTTCCGCGTCTTTTCGCGAGCGAGCCGATGTGGCCGATTTGCAGAAGCAGCTGCTGCAAGAGCGCATGGGAAAATCCCCAAATGGACTCCCAATAGCAGGGCTCCCAAGAAACAACTCCTGGGACGGCTCGGGGGACCGCGTGAGCATGAGCCCAGAGCTGGCAGAGTCCCGGAGACTGCGAGAGCCAGGAGGCTTCCGACGAGGCTTCTTGCAAACGCAGGCCAGAAACCAAGGAGTGCAAGAACAGGATCTGCCACAAAGCTGGACAACCAGCTTCCAAGTTGAAACTCACGTCTACGGGCTCAACCTAAGTGACGACGAAGATGTCCAGATTGTGCAGCCTGCTACACGGGGAGCAAGCAATCTGAACATTGCCTTCCTGATCTTCAAGGGCAATTGCGGCTGTGCCATTCTGTACATGCCTCGTGGCTGGATGAATGGAGGCCCAGGGGGCGGGCGTGTAAGTAACTTAGGAGATCAACAGATCAACAAAAGAGAAATAGGGTGTAAAGCAACATGCCGCGCAACAGCGCACACACACACACACACACACAAACACACCTACACACACACACACACACAGACACAGACACACACACACACACACACACACACACACACACCCACACCCACACCCACACCCACACCCACACGCACACGCACACGCACACGCACACGCACACGCACACGCACACGCACACGCACACGCACACGCACACGCACGCGCGCACACGCGCACGCATGCGCGCACGCGCGCACACGCGCACACGCGCACACGCGCAC